ACACAATACACACTGACAGAACAATCAAAGCCAACTGCCCAGACATTTTTATTAAAAACCACAAACAAAAAAAAGGTGCCTCCTTATTGATATGGCAGTCCCTGCAGACTGCAATGTATCTTTGAAGATATTCAAAAAGCTGCCAAAATACAAGAATCTTGAAATCGAAATCTCAAAAATATGGCGCATGGGGACATCAACAATCCCTGTTGTAGTTGGAACCCTCAGATTGGTTGGAAAATCCGCAGACGTTCCAGTAGACTAATTGAAGGGATTCCTGGAAGTCCATGCCTTAAATAAATACAAAACATTGTTCTCCCGAGTACAGATGACACCTTACGAACGGCTTTATCTATGTAAAATATGTTTTTTTTTTGTCAGTGGAAAATGTCATAATGCCATTTCTAACCTTAGGTCTCTGGGCGGCAACCCGGAACAAAATGTTTACACGCTAGAAATCAAAGGAAATAAAATAATAATAATAATAAGTTTAGACACTTTCAGTAAATTTTGGCTGTGGTAGAAAAAGTGAAAAAAAAAAAAAAAAAAAAAAAACCTGGAGAGATCGATTCTACTTAAATTGCTAGACGATCAGAAATTTCGCCATTTTGAGGCTGGCACACCTCTAACGATATGGATGGCCTATTTCTTAAGCGTATCATTGTTCCTATAACATTAGCGTTATTCCTTTATAGTTACTAGTTTAACAGAAAGTAAAGTGAAGAAACTTCTCGGCCAGAATGTAAAGGAAAGTAGGAAGAAGGGACTAAACATCAAGTTTAATAAAACCCGGCCATATGCAACTAGATTTACGCATTCCCTTTTTTCTCGAGAGTTGACAAAAATAAATAAAAACTGTTTATTTTGTTAGATTGTTTATTTATAAGTAAACCAAATACAATATTATAAAACATATCTACGTCCATTTTTTATTCATCATACTTATTATAAAACTCAGGTTGTGTGTGTGTGTGTGTGTGTGTGTACGTTTATATGTTGGATCGGATTTCCTACATTTTTCAACCGATTTCAACAAAACTTCACAGGACTACGTAAAATTACCTTGCGGTGGTTCTGACAGCGCCAAAAATTGGAAAAACACAATTGTTTTTACACGAATTCAATTTGAAAACACGATTAAGAGGCATTGCTTTCACGGAATGAAAGGGGGACAACTCATATCAAGTTATACTTATTATAAAACCCAGGTTGTTTGTGTGTGTGTGTGTGTGTGTGTGTGTGTATGTATGTGTGTGTTCCTTCATATTTGGGATCGGACTTCCTACATTTTTCAACCGATTTCAACAAAACTTCACTTTTTTTTCGCAGGTAGTGTTTCTTATTGTCTTGCACACTTTTTTCTTTATTTTTACATTCAGAATGCTTTAAAAATTCAATTTACAAGACAATTGTTTATAACAAAATTCTATTCAATTGGTAGACTCATAACGATTGAAAACAATGTTTTTGTTTGAATTTGGGTTTGACCAATTCGTAAAAAAAAATAAAAAAATAATTAAGACATGCGTGTCTGTCAACCTTAAACAATAATCTTTGTCAATTTTATTTTTCAGTCTTTATGATGGTCGATACTTGATCTATCTCTTACTGTTACATCCCCGGGCAACGCCGGGCTCTCCTGCTAGTAAATTTATAAAATGTCAATTAGGAAGAGACCAAGAAAAATTAAATAAATAGATAATTTAATTGTATCAATTTTCGTCTTGCTACATAAATTCATTAAAATAGTTTGCGAGCATTTGAATTTATACTATTTTTTTCTCTCGAGAATGACAAAAAAATAATGCTATTTATTTAGTAAACAGTGTAAGTACTAGAATAGTATGTAATAATCTTGTTGACTATTTACATTATTCGGACTATTGTCCTCATCTTTGTTGCCTTAAGGACACATGGCACAATGGATAAAGGCTTTGGTTAGATCCAGTGACATGACTTAAAGAGTTGTGAGTTCAATACCTGGTTAAGGCAGTGGAAAACTTGGAGAGCTGAATTAACAGGAGATAACTGATAAGTGACATCCATTAGACATGGCACGTCGAACTAGAACAGTCTACCCCGAAATAAAGGGTTCAGTTCGACATTCCAACCACCTGAAGAACGCCGGTCTAAATGTTGCGATAGATATGGAACAAAGATAAGGACAATAGTTTGAATAATGTAAATAGTGTACATAATATCTCATCTCAGACATATACAAATAGTTTTATACTAAGGTAGTATGTAATAGTTTTGTTGTCAAGCCTCGAGAAAACTAGAGATGGTATAAATCCGGTTTCATAAGTTTGGGCGAAATTAAAATTCTAAAAATAGCCTTGTTTAAACAATAAAAATTGCCGAGGGTGTATACAGTAATAATGGCGTCAAGAAGAAAATAAAAAATCATTCTTTTGACATATCGTTTTTTTGTTTTTTGTTTCCGGTAGAAATCTGAAACGTTGCCGAAAAAAATATATATTTTAGTCACATGTAAAAATGTGTTATAGTCACATGTGAAAATCTAATAATAGTAGGCATTTATCCACACGCCCACCAAAACGGAATATGGCGCGAGTTTTTAAGAGGGAGTTTCTTGCGCGCATAGGACTAAGAGTGGGGGGGTTGCTAGACAGTTCCTTATTTGAGAGGCCTCAGGTGCTAGGGATTATACCGAGTACACTTCTTTTTTTTTTTTTTTTTTTATAAAACAAAAAGGACATGTTGTGTAGAACGTCATCCTGGAGCTGAGTATATAAATATATCCGGCTGGTATTCAGGTTGGATCAGGAACATTTTTTTTTAATCATTTTACTCCCAAGCAAGGTAGAGATTACAGGGAGTGAAAATGCTAGGTGGATTCTGACGAGAAAAAAAAATTCCTGGCATGATACAGTGACCCAACTTTCCTTGCAGTAGATGCACCTATAGATTCGATGTAGCTGCTCCACGGTAGTAGAAAATGTAAAGCCCAGAAGATGCAGTGTGTTGCTCTCCTGGAGCCTAGCGTCAGCCATGCTGACGGCAGGCAGAAAAGGTACTTCATGGTGGTTAATTGTTTTCAATTCAAATTTTCGAGCCATTACCTGTCGTAGATAATTACGAATTGGAGGTCCTTTTCAAGAATAGTTGCCATGTTTACTGTGTCAGCTCTGGATGATTTGCTATTGAGACAGGAGTCATCTACATAAATACCTACTTGGGAATTGATGACAACAGGGAAATCATTGATGAAGATAGTAAGGACTTAATGAAATATTAATTTCATCTCCGCCGTCGTTTTTGACGGGTTGTAAACGAGTATTAAGATTCTAATGGATATAAGACGAGGGATTGGTTATCTTACTTATTATAAAACGCAGATTGTGTGTGTGTGTGTGTGTGTGTGTGTGTGTGTGTGTGTGTGTGTGTGTGTCTGTACGTTTATATATTGGATCGGATTTCCTACATTTTTCAACCGATTTAAACAAAACTTCACAGGACTACGTAAAATTACCTTGCAGTGGTTCTGACAGCACCAAAAATGGGAAAAATATAATTGTTTTTGCACAAAATCAATTTGAAAACACGATTAAGAGACATCGTGAAAATGGAAGGGGGACATTCTCACATCGGGTTGTTTGTGTGTGTGGGTTACTTTAAATATAGGAGCGGATTTTCTATATTTTTCAGCCGATAAAACAAAACTTCACTTTTTTTTTTTGGCAGGTAGTGTTTCTTATTGTCTTGCACACTTTTTTCTTTATTTTTAACATTCAGAATGCTTTAAAAATTCCATTTACAAGACAATTATTTATAATAAAATTCTATTCAATTGGGAGACTCATAACGATTGAAAACAATGTTTTTGTTTGAGTTTGGGTTTGACCAATTAGTAAAAAAAAATAAAAATAATAATTAAGACATGCGTGTCCGTCAACCTTAAACAATAATCTTTGTCAATTTTATTTTTCAGTCTTTATGATGGTGGATACTTGATCTATCTCTTACTGTTATATCCCCGGGCAACGCCGGGCTCTACTGCTAGTATATTATAAAACTAGAAAATTACTTGTGCCTCGCGGCGTGTCACACATTTTTTTGTAAGAAAATGATTATTGACTTTAAATCATTGTTATAATTTGTGAAGAAAAATGATGTATTTCAATATTACTCAATGATTTTGCCGAAGTGACCTCCATCTTCTGGCTTTCTCCTTCTATATTTTGGATAGGAGTCATTCCCTTGTTCAAATTTACATTTAATTTAAATCAAAGGGAAAAAATAAGTGGGGAGTTTGTGAAAAAAACAGCTTCAACTAACCACTTTGATATGTATTTGATGTAATAGTTGATTGATATATATATTAGTTCTAAGCTGAGATGTGCGGTGTGGTGTATTGGATAAATGAACAATCGCAGAGATTCATATCTTTCCCAAGAGTATTTGAGCGGAAGTGAATGTAACAAACCCGACTGGAATTCAAACTCGGTTTTTCCATTTCGATATTCTTTACAACATCTGCACATCAGCTACGATGATTGTAATAACCTAAACTATCATTTAAGTATCCGATCGATTTTCGATTTTTCTTAAGTAACTAGACTACTATTTTAAAATCATATTCACTTGAAAACATTTTTAAATATGCCAAAGTTATTTTTTAATTATTTAAAATATTGTTTGTTTAAAGAAAGCTGAAATATAAATAATTACCTCTACAAACAACTGGACGAAACAGCAAAGCGGGATCTCTTTGTGGCTGTCTTTAAATTAAATTATTTTAATTAAGAAAATTGTTTTTTGAAGAGAGTTAAAATAAAAATAATCTTATTCAATTAAATCAGATTAACTTAAATCATTATGCACCGGTCACGACTCAAGCACGCACGCAATCACAGAGAGGTGGAAAGAAAGGGAGGGGGAGAGAGAGGTGGAAAGAGAGACATAGAGGTGGAAAGAGAGAGGTGGGAAGAAACTTAATTCATTTATGTGCCGGACGTAGTCACGAGGAAAGCACGCACGTAATCACAGTGAAGTGGAAAGAGAAAGAGAGAAGTGGAAGAGGGAGAGAGAGAGAGAGAGAGAGAGAGAGAGAGCGATGGAAAAAGAGAGGTGGAAAGAGAGAGAAGTAGAAAGAGAGAGAGAGAAGTGGAAAGTGAGAGGTGGAAAGAGCGAAAGGTGGAAAGAGAGAGAGAGAGAGAGTGGTGGAAAGAACAAGAGAGAGGCGGAAGAAAGCGAGTGAGAGGCGGAAGAAAGCGAGAGAGAGATAGAGATAGAGAGAGAGAGAGATAGAGAGAGAGAGAGATAGAGAGAGAGAGAGAGAGAGGTGGAAAGAGAGAGAGGTGGGAATTAAACACTTAAATCATTATGCGCCGGACAGACGACGCACGCACGCACGCACGCATCATAGACTTACAGTATCTTATAGATAAACTGGCCTTACTTACATAATATCTTCTTCGTCTGTGTACCCTGTCCCTTGAGAAACTTGGGCGATCATGGCTCTTCACAATTACCCGTCCTTTGAAGTTCTTACTAAATTTTTTTTTTGCTATCACTCCTAATCCCTGTTCTGCCAACCCTGTTAGACAGGGGTTATGCACTGCCTTCCTTTGTCCTTCTTGTCTTCAATCTGTCCTGTGAGTATCATATTTTCCAAACTCTTTTACCTCATTATGTACCCTATACATTTCAACTGTCTTTTTTTGTTGCTACGTATAAGTGTTCTTTTTGTTACCATTTTCTCTAGAACTTTGTCGTTGCTTACATGTTCAGTTCATGGTATCCCCAGTATCCTCCTGTAGAACCACATTTCTGTAGCTTCAAGTCTCTTCTATATCTTTCAGGAGATTGTCCAACATTCACTACCATATATGAGGACTGATATTGCATAACAGTTAAGTACTCTTTTCTTTGTTACTAACGAAGTTTTTCTGTATCTTAATACTCTGCTTAGCTTTTGAAAGGCATCTTTGCCTATCGCAATGTCACACCTTCCGTCCTCTTTTAAAACACTTCCGAAATTTTTAATTTTTTGTATTCGTTCGATTTTGGTATCTCTGATTTGTAATTTGCCTGTTGGGCTCTTCCTTCTGCGGACGAGATTACATACTTTCTTCTTGCAGTTGATATTTAATCCTTTCTTTTCGCTTTTTCCTTCTTACCTTCTGTAAAAGTTTTTGTAGTTTTCCTTTCCGTGTCTGCTATCAACACTGTGTCATCTTTTCTTTGTTTCTAATGAAGTTTTTTTTTTATCTTAATACTCTACTTAGCTTTTGGAAGGCATCTTTCGCTATTCCAATCCGCCTTCGGATTTCAGTGCCGCATTTTACGTCCTCTTTTAAAATACTTCCCAGATATTTAATTTTTTGTACTTGTTCGAATTTGGTATCTCCGATTTGTAATTTGCATGTTGGGCTCATCCTTTTGCTAACAACATTGCATTCTTTCTTCTTGCAGTTGATGTTTAATCCTTTCTTTTCGCTTTACTTCTACCTTCTTCTGCAGTTTCCTTTCCGTGTCTGCTATCAACACTGTGTCGTCTGCGTATCTTATGTTGTTAAGATTGTGGCCGCCAATAATGAATCCTGGTAGGCATTGTAATTCTCTCAGAATCACCTCCATGTATAGTCTGAATAAGTCCGACGAGAAGACACATCGTTGTCTTACTCACCTTTCTAGTTTTGTAAAGCTGCCGAACTCATTCTCAGGCAGTTTCTTTTGTTGCATGTAATTTTTGTCTTTCTGTAATTTCCCCTAAACCGAATTCCGCCATCTTATTTACTCAAACCCATTAAGTAGATTAACCACTGTTTTCTGTCCTTTTGTTTCCATTTTCTCTAAAACATCGTCATTGCTTACATGTTCCTTGCTTCTAATGAAGTTTTTCTGTATCTTAATACACTGCTTAGCTTTTGGAAGGCATCTTTCGCTATGCCAATGCACCTTCGGATTTTAGTGCCGCACTTTCCGTTCACTTTTAAAACACTTCCCAGAAGATTTGTATTTGTTTAATTTTGGTATCTCCAATTTGTAATTTGCATTTTGGGCTCATCCTTTTATTAACAATCATGCATTCTGTCTTCTTGCAGTTGATATTTAGTCCTTTCTTCGCGCTTTCCTTTACTATCCTCTGTAGCAGTCCCTGTTTTTACCTTTCTGTACCTGCTATCAAAACTGTCATCTCTATATCTTATATTGTTAAGATTGTGGCCGCCGATAATGAATCCTGGTAGGAATTGTAATTCTCTCAGAATCACCTCACTGTATAAATTAAATAAGTCCGGCAAGAAGACACATCCTTGTCTTACGCTCCTGTCTATTTTTGTATAATTACAGAATCTGTTTTCTGTCCGTCTGCAGGCAGTTTACTTCCAGTATAATTTTTGCATTATTCTAAAATTCTTCCAAAATAAAGCTTACCTAGCAGTTCAAATAGTTCTTTGTGATATACTGTATCAAACACATTCGTATAATCTATAAAACATAGGCAAATATACTTTTGCATTTGTCTTGCTCTTTTTGATATTCGGAGCATTCCTTGTTCGAGTGTTGTTAGCGAAACTGCACATTTGTGATAATAGGAACATCTTGATGTATGTATCTCCAAAAAAGCGCCATACGATTTAACGTTGTTGTGGAGAGGTTCAATTCCTGCGCGCGGTGACGAATAGAAGGGTCTGGATTTTCGGCCACGTTCTACTTAATTAATTTCCAAAAATGAAAAATCTTTCTTGAAGCTTTTATTTTAGTTTTAATTTCAAGCTAATAGATTATATTTAATACTAGCAGCATGGCCCGGCGTTGCCCGTGCTTGATTCAAAAATAGTACGACTAATACAGCAATCGCTATCACTTGACTTAAAATATTTTTGCCCTTCCTTGCCTTTAAAGGAGTGCCCTTTGCCGTGCTGATGTTGCTACATGCCTTACTTCACACTGCAACTTTTTCTAAGCTCTATAGTAAACATTAAATCTGTTACGAAAAAAGAACTAAACAAAATAAACACAATACGATCAGCTTTAAAAAACCGGAAAAAATTTTTAAGGGTTGACCGATTGTCGATTTGCACTCTGTTTGGGGGGTGCTCAGAGTTGAAACTTCACATGATGACTCCCAATGGCCTCTTCATAAATCCGGTCGGTTTTCGCTAAAACCGACATGCGGTTCAGACGCAATCTGGACGTATCGGTTTTGGGTTTATCGATTTTCCGCGCTGTTTAGGGGTCCGTGGTCATGAAACTTCTGGACAACACTTCTAATGGTTGGACTCTAAGAGGGTATCAAATTTGGTTGAAATGCGATCATTCCTTCTGTAAGCAGAATTTTTTCGATTATCGATTTTTTCGATTATCGATTTTTTCGATTATCGATTTTTTCGATTATCAATTTTTTCGGAACCTGATTCCGAACTCAAAAATCGGGCTCCGTCATGTCCTTACGGCAGCGATTTGCAAACTTGTGTTGAAAACCGCATCGAAATCAGGTGAGAAATACGGCCTGGGCGAGGTAACAACGCCCACGACAGACACACAGACAGACAACATGAGAAATATAGATAGTAGATAGATTTCCAATAAGCAAAATATTTTGCTGCACTATTTACGAGGTATTGTCAGGGCGTAACTAACGAAGGGGTGAGGGACATGTATACTGCACAGTCATTATATGATGATAAGAAAGCATTTATTTTAGTTTTAATTTCAAGCAAATAGATTAAATTTAATATAGAGTGTTTCAATGACTTGGACCGATTCTAAATTTGAATTCAAGCGTCTAATGATTTTTTCTTTTTCTTTCAGATTTAACAACTTAAGTCTTTGGCAATTTCAACCATGGAAAGATTAACAATCAAACAACGTGTTAAAGTTATTGTAGCCTATTACGAAAATGGACGTTCAAACAGAAATGCATTTCACGCACTTCGCGATTTTTGGGGGGCCAATTTAATCGACCAACAGTGCAAATGGAAAAATTGTTCGTGAATTCAAACAAACTGGGTGGTGGAAGATGTGAAAACGCCATTGCGTGCTCGTTTACGCCGTTCAGCTGAAAACATTGCTGCAGTGCACGAGAATGTAGCCGAAAATCCAGACCCCCTCTATTCGTCATCGCGCGCAGGAATTGAACATCTCCACAACAATTTTACATCGAATTTTGACAAAAGATTTGTTTCTACACGCTTACAAAATTCAATTGACACGAGAACTGAAACCTACTGACCATTTGAAGCGCCGTACATTCGTCAATTGGCTGCACAAGCAAAGACAAGCCGATGAAGATTTTTCGCAGAAAATCCTCTTTAGTGACGAAGCCCATTATCATTATATTTCTGGGAAAGAGCATGTTATCTAGCCTGATCAACAATTTGAACAAGGCCAGCACGCCCAAGCCCTTGGTCACGATGACTTGTGACTTCTTTCAAGCATAAATATCGACGGCCCCCAAGGGTTACGCCTACCCAATTTCACTCACAAGGCTTGGGTCAACCCGTGCTGTGGTTTTCAGGTACTTTCCAATGGTGCCGAGCGCTGGGATAGACCAGTCCGATAACATCAGGAAGTCTCCTTCCTGACAAATCGACCATGGTGATGAGATTCGAACCCGGGTCTCATGTTCAGAATACGAACGTTCTAAATTAGCTAGAACTAAATATAGCCTAGCCCGTACGAATTAATACAGAAATTTAAAAGTTTTAAAAATTTATAAATTATACTAATTAAAATTTAAAAAATTAAAACAATCCTTTTAAAAATTCTATTTTTTTCTTAAGACAATAGAATTTATAATATATCTTATTCATAAAAGCAATTAAAAGCTTTTCTAATTAAATCATGTCTTTTACTGCATTTGTTATTTCACAATTCAGGTCAGATTTTCAGTGACTTGGTTGGTTTGGGGGTGGGGTGTTTCCAAAAAAAAATAAGAAAAAAAAAAAAAAAAATATTAATATTTAAATTTACCAAGGAGTTCTGCGTATAATTAATATAAAAAAGCATTAAGCAGTGCAAAAATGAATTTTTCGAAATTTAATAAAATTAACTAAGGGGCGGGGGTGAGTAGCACGTGTAAAAAATATTTTGATCTATATGTTGTAATGAAGAAACATTTCTGAAATAATTTTATTCATTTGTGAATAAGTCCTGAAAGTTTCATTAAAATTAAAATCCAATAATTATTTTATTTTTGCAAGAATTTCCAAATTAATTGGTGTTCTTTCTTCGCAGCAAAAGATGCAAAAATTTTCTATATTAGTTTTTGGTCCCTTCGCTGACACAAAAAAAAAAGCGAAAATTTTAAGCAAAATTTTGAAAGTTCTAAAAAGGATCAAACAATAAAATTTAATAATAAAAAAAAACCCTCCAGTAGCTTCATGTCTCGCACCTCCTGCCTGTGGAATTCCCTTTCTATTACTTGTTTCCCTTATAGCTATAATCTCCAACTATTCAAAGGTAATGTCAATCGACATCTCCAGATGCCTTGATCTATTCCCTGTTCTTTTCTTCTTTTTTTTCTCCATCACGCCTCTTTACTCTCGCTCCCACACTCTATAACTCCTTGCGTAATAGTGACATCCTGCCTTGTTTGGGGTAAAAAAAAAAAAAAAAAAAAAAAAAATCGATAGATCTCTTTCTGAAACCAGAAAGTGTTTGCTTATGTCTCCTAGGTTGGCATCTCAGTTCCACTCTTTCACTGTCGAAAGTGTTAAATGTAGCCGTCTCTTCTACTCCAAGAGCTTCATGTCTCGTACCTCCCATCTATGGAATTGTTTCCCTGATAGCTATAATCTATATAATATAATATATAATATAATCATACTTATTATAAAACCCAGGTGTGTGTGTGTGTGTGTGTGTGTGTGTGTGTCTGTACGTTTATATATTGGATCGGATTTCCTACATTTTTCAACCGATTTCAACAAAACTTCACAGAATTACGTAACATTACCTTGCGGTGGTTCTGACAGCGCCAAAAATTGGAAAAACAATTGTTTTTGCACAAAATCAATTTGAAAACACGATTAAGAGTCATCGCGAGAATGAAAGGGGGACAACTCATATCGAGTTATACTTATAAAACCCAGGTTGTTTGTGTATGTGTGTGTGTGTTCGTTTATATATGGGATCGGATTTCCTACATTTTTAAATCGATTTCAACAAAAAATCACTTTTTGGGGGTAGGTAGTGTTTCTTATTGTCTTGCACACTTTTTTCTTTATTTTTACATTCAGAAAGCTTTAAAAATTTCATTTACAAGACAATTGTTTATAATAAAATTCTATTCAATCCGTAGACTCATAACGATTGAAAACAATGTTTTTGTTTGAGTTTGACCAATTCGTAAAAAAAAAAAAAAAAATTAAGACATGCGTGTCCGTCAACCTTAAACAATAATCTTTGTCAATTTTATTTTTCAGTCTTTATGATGGTCGATACTTGATCTATCACTTACTGTTACATCATCGGGCAACGCCGGGCTCTACTGCTAGTAATTAATAAAAACATAAAATAGATAAAAGTGTATACAACACCATGATACAGATGGACACAAATTATAAAAGAAAATGTTTCAAATTTGTATTGTTTATTGAAAATCACACTAAAACTACTACACTATAACATATTGCATATTAATATAGCTAAATTGTTCAGTATAATTTCCCTTTGAAGTAAATGAATGTCTTATTTGATGGCGCAATGATTTAGTAATAATGTGCTTCTGCCTTTCATTTTGTCTATAAACAATCTGTCCAGCTTCAGTAAATTATAAATTTTATAAGACTGTGCTATAAGTAAGGCTTTCATTGATCAGCGGAATGGAATTCCAATGTTATAATTTCAACCTAAACTTAATAATTTAAAATCATTTCCTCAAAAACCGGTTTCAACAAAACATCATTTTTTTTTTTGTGGTAGTGTTTCTTATTGTCTTGCACACTTTTTTCTTTATTTTTTACATTCAGAATGCTTTAAAAATTCCATTTACAAGACAATTGTTTATAATAAAATTCTATTCAATCGGTAGACTTATAACGATTGAAAACAATGTTTTTGTTTGAGTTTGGGTTTGACGAATTTGTAAAAAAAAAAAAAAAATTTAATTAAGACATGCGTGTCCGTCGACCTTAAACAATAATCTTTGTCAATTTTATTTTTCAGTCTTTATGATGGTCGATACTTGATCTATCTCTTACTGTTACATCCCCGGGCAACGCCGGGTTCTACTGCTATTATAACTATATAACTATTCATATGCAATGTCAATCGACATCTCTAGATGCCTTGATCTATTCCCTGTCCTTCTCTTCATTTTTTTCCTCTATCACGCGTCTTTACTCTTGTTCTCAATCCTCTGTAACCCCCTTGCGTGCTACTGGCACTCCCGCCTGGATTGGCGGGAAATGCTTAAAAAAAAAAAGAAAAAAAAGAAAAAAATTTGACTTTACCTCTTGGTTTACTCCAGTAGTCATGCATTTCCATGCGTGTGTGGACTTTCATACAAGCTTGGCACGAATGTTTTTGCGGTTTCGGTGATTCATCCACGCAAGCATTCAATATGCCCCCGCGATATGTATTGCATTCGTAGCATGTGAGGTTTGAATTATCAGTGCCCCCTGCAGAGAAAGAAAGAACAAAGTTATTATGAGATATTTTTTTAAAAAACGGCATATCAACAACTTATGGGTCATTTAATACCAAAACTTAATTTTCTTGAGAGCTTTGAAGTAATAAATATATACACTATTCGGACTATTCTCCTCATCTTTGTCACCATATTTATTACAACGTTTCGGCCGTTGTACGCTCCGGCCTTCTTCAGTTGGTTGTGATGTCGAACTGAACAATTTATTTCGCTTACTGGGGTAGACTGTTCTAGTTCCACGTGTCATGTTTTAATGGATGTCAGTTATCAGTTATCTCTTGTTAATTCCCATCTCCAAGTTCTCCACCGCCTTAATCAGGTATTGAACTCACACTGTTTGGTTTCTGTCACTGGATCTAACTAACGCCTTTATCCACTGTGCCATGTGTCGCTGGTAATTTCACTGCAGAATTTATATTACAGGCAGTTTTATTATAAAAATGATATATGTTATTCTGCTTTCACAGTTGAATACATGGTAGAGGATACTCAGCTTTTGAGCATATAGGTGTTGTTGTGGACATCATTACTAGAGGCGGTGATATATGTGTTTATGTTGTAGTTTTATTGAAGTTATATTTTGGAATACAGTTTGATTTCTTTAAGGAATTGTAGGATATTATATGGATTAATGTCATGAAAGAATTCTTTTACGTTGATTGGTTGCTTGGTTCTGTTGAGCGGCATATCAACATCTCTATGAGTTATACTAAAATCTAAATAATTTGAATGTTAACGCCAAAATCTAAATGAACACAATTTTATGGCTTCAATTAAATATGTCTTGAACGCAATTGCCTTCAACTACAGATAAAATGTATTGTTGGTCATTTGGCTATAAAATGTACTGTTGGTCATTTTACTTTAAAAATGTATTGTTGGTCATTTTACTATGAAAATGTATTGTTGGTCATTTTGCTATAAAATGTATTGTTGGTCATTTTGCTATAAAAATGTATTGTTGGTCATTTTACTATAAAATGTATTGTTGGTCATTTTTCTATAAAATGTATTGTTGGTCA